AGTTGGCAGAGCATTGGGCTAGTATTCCAAAGGTCGTAGGTTCGATTCCCACCGTGGACAGGCATATTTTTCAAGCTTGCCCGGTGTGGATATACACTAGCTCAGAGTAACATCACAAGCATCTTCTTTATAGCAAATATTTAAGAGAAAATTACAACATACAAATGTATGTCACACAAATAAGCTATACGATTTTCTTAATAACACATATACGTGAGACTGTAGAATAGATTTATAGACTTCTGCTAATAGAAATTAATCAAAAATTTAGAACTAAACATCTAGATGCCTTCATTGAACTGAATTGGCGGCGAAGCGACTAATATAAAATACAGGCCTTAATTCGATTTTAATAAAAATATAACTAGGCTACAGTATGTCTAAAAACCATCCGCATACAAATGAGTAAATACACAATAGAGATACCTTTCAAATTCCATGTATTTTATTAGGTCTTTCGAACTTTATAATAGAAAATTTGAATAGAAATCTTCCTCTTTGAATGCTTGCAGCTTGCTCCCCAAAGATTGAACTTTGGCGGTTGTTGTCAATGTCTCATACAGATCGAATCGATCCTAATCGAGTGCTTAGTCAATATGCTCAAGAGTTAGCTGATCCGGTAGCCAAAATCTTCAACAAGTCTTTATTGCACTCTGAATTCCCTGTACCTTGGAAAGATGCTAACATCGTCCCAATCCCGAAAGTCCAACCGATAACGTGTGAGGATGAGACCCGTCCAATTGCCCTCACTGCTACTCTGTCAAAAGTTTTGGAAGACTTCGTTGTTACGTGGATGATTGATTATGTCAAACACAAAATCGATTCGAAGCAGTTTGGTAGCTTAAGGGGATCTTCTACAACATTCTCCCTTATTGACATGATTAACAACTGGTTGCAGGCAGGCACTGGATAGCCCAAAACGGTATCTACGTATCTGTTTTTTGGATTTCTCCAAAGCTTTTGATAGAATCAACATAACATTTTGATTGCGAAACTCATAGCCCTTGGAGTAAGAAGATGTTTGATCCCATGGATATGTGATTTTCTTGAAAATCGTCGTCAGGCAGTGAAGATTAATGAGTCTGGCTTGGAGTGGGCTTATGTAAATGGCAGTGTCCCTCAAGGAAGAAAACTTGTCCCTATCTTGTTCTTAGTTATGATTAATGATCTGAAAATGAAGTCCCTAAACTCCTCTCATTGGAAATACGTTGACGATGATTACAAACTGAACGCAATGAACTCCAACAATGGGCATGTGAGAATGATATGAAACTGAATTGGTTAAAATGCAAGGAAATGGTTGTCAGCTTTTTACGACAAAATGATAACTATATTCCATTACACATTAATGATCAACAATTGAAACTGGTTACATCTTTCACGATTTTGTGTTTGACTATTAATAATCACCTTAAATGGAATGATAACGTTGCAATTATCGTAAAAAAAGCGTCGAAACGCCTTTACATCCTTCGGGTGTTGCGTCGATCTGGAATTCCATCCACTGACTTGCTCTCAATCTATAACGCCCTAATCAGATCTGTTTTGGAATATGCTTGTGCAGTCTGGCATACCAGCCTACCTCAGTATCTTTCCAACAAAATTGAACGGGCGCAGAAACGTGCTGTGCGAATTCTGTACTCTTTCACTGATTATGCGGAAGCCCTATCTATCAGTCGTTGTTCTCGCCTTGATGATAGAAGGCAGTCAATATGTCAGAATACCTTACAAAAGATTGCTAAGCCTTGCTCGAAACTGTACCACTTGTTGCCGTCAACTCGCGGAAACGTCCATGGACGGAGTTAATAATCCATTATCGCTTCCCATATGTAGAACTGAGAGGTTTAAGAACAGTTTTATCCCAGCAATATGCTATAGTCAAGTTGACGTATAGACCTTTATGGTCTTAACTTGTATATATATTAGGTTTTAACATTTATATTAGATATAGTAATTCATATTTTAGCATTTTTGTAAATTTTAGTATATTTCCATGTAAACATATTGTAATTCATTTTCAATGCGATAATATGCAAATAAACCATTTTATAATAATAATAATAATAATAAAGGTATCAGTTTTTTTACTCACCCTGTATATAACCTTAAAATACTCATTAATAATTCATAAACCTTGTGGCAAATCATGTCAGTCATAATATGTCACGTGGAGTGACTTTATATCTGATCTTTATATCTGAAAACTCATCTTCATTAGTATCCCTTATACAATTGTTCATCCT